GAATTCATCTACAACAGGGCAGGGTGTGAACCGAGGAGGAAGTGAGACCATTAGAGAGACAGCTGAGCTGGGAACCTGAGCCTGTCCAGCAGCAAGGATGGGGTCCCTGACTCTGGGAGGGGTCCACCCTCCCATTGCTTCTCTTCTGGGAGGTTCAAACAGGCTGGAGGAGCCACAGACACAGGTGTTCTGCCTGGAGGGGCCTCAGCCTTGACCCACGGTCTCCCCACCAGACAAACAATGAGGTCTGTTCCTGCCACCTGAACTTCAGGGCAGAAACGCAAATTATGGCTTTAAGAGGGATTCCAAATAGCCACTTAAATTTTTACTGTCCACTCCCTTGGCCTAGACACCCAGGGACAAGCACAAGCAACAGAAGCACTCCCCACTCGAAGCTAAAAAGTGATGGAGACGTTTGCCACTTCCTCTCTACCCACAATTTCTGGTTGGGGGTGGCAACCAAAACCCTGACCAGGAGCCCAGGTCAAGCACGGAAGCCCCTCTCATAGGTGAACACCGGGAGAGGAGCCCTGTTGGGGTGCCCCTTGTGGGCAGGTTTCTTAAATAGCATACCCTGGCCCACCTTCACCATAACCCACCTTCACCACAACCCACCTTCTTAGCGGAAGCACGGCCTTTCCTGCTGGTCTCCAGGAAGTGGAGGTGTGAGCTGGAGACAAGCATCAGCTCGCAAGGGCGGCCATCCTAAGAGCTAATGGAAGAACCACGAATTTCAACAGAAGCAAGAAAACCACAAATGAAATAAAATACACACACCAGCCAGTCTCCATACCCAGTTTGTGGGTTCAAATCTAAGAAGTCATCTTCTGATCAGAATATCTGAATGGCATGTCAGAGAATCATCTAAACACCAGGGGCCTGTTGTACTTCATTTCACTTGGGTCCACAATCAACACCCCTGAAAATGACAGTCAAAAAAACCAAAAGACAAGCTGCACTGTAATCCCAGAAGTGCACGGTTCAAATCCACCAGATGCTCCGCTGGAGAAGGAGGGACAATCTCCTGTACCAGTCAGATTGACTTGAAGGTACACACACACACACACTAATTTTTTTTAAAAAAATCAAAAAGACATGTTGCATTGTCAAGGATCTCTCCAAAGTGCCAAAAGCAAGGATGTCCTTTGAAAGACTAAGGTGTGCCTGATCTGGGTCAAGATATTTTCAATTGCTTCATATGCATGTAAAAGTTAGGACAATGAATAAGAAAGATGAGAGAAGAATTGATGCCTTTGAATTGCGTGGTGTTTGCAGAGTGTTGAACACACCATGGATTTCCAAAAGAACAAACAGCTCTGTCTTGGAAGGAGTAGTTGGCTCAGGGTGAAGCAGGTCAGCCTGAGGCTCAAGCGTACTGTTTCGTCACTGTGTCATTCTAAATCCTAAAGGCCAGCACACACCTTAAGAACGTTTATGAATTACGTTCCATGACTTTTACCTCAATTAAAAAGCAAAGCAACCACCTGGAGTGAGGATAGGGTCCTGAGTGGCCTGGGCTCAGGTTTCTCTGTTAATTCAGCGCTTTACACATGGCAGGGGACAAGCCACGCTAATCAGCAACAAACCAGATAAGCCAGACTAGAGGCTTCCAAATTTTGCTCTTTGTCACTTTGTTCTCACACACTTTGTCTGTGACTAGCGCACACGTGTATGTATACACAGCTGTGGGGCCAAGAGAGAAGTTTCACGAACAATCCTTTGCTTTGTGCTCTGTGAGGAGTCCCTGGGTTTTGTAAACAGTTAAGTGTTTAACTACTGTATTGGCTGAGAGGTTGGTGGTTTGAGCCCATTGTGAGGAGTACCTCAGAAGAAAGTCCTGGCAATCTGCTTCCAAAAGGTCACAGCTTTGAAAACCTCAAGCCATTTGACACAGGGCCACCAAGAACTAGACTTAACACAACTTGTGATACAGTGCAAAAGGACACACCCACGAAATTAATTTTTCCAGTTAGAAAACGAATGACAAAAATAATTTCAAAGACATCACAGCACAAAGATTTCTGAAAATATTTAAATGCACCAGCATTTTCCTAATACAGCAATGAAAAGTCTCAAATAGCAGGCTAGATGCATTAGATGGTGCACTTGTCTCTGAGCAGTTTTATTATTTTCTTTATATCTTCCTGAGCTTTGGAGTCTTGTTCCTTTAAAATTCTTGGATTTGGGGGGGGGGAGAAAAATCTGGTTTCTCTCTTTCATCACCCTGGCAGGCTCTCCTTTCAGTCCACCCATGTGCCGATGAAAAACAGACGGCCCATTGTAAACAGGCTGAGTAATAAAAGCAGGAGATAACTTTAATAGGATCCAAAATGCAAATTGTAATTTTGGCCAGTAAAATTCCAACGTCTCGATTTACAACCAGCAAAGGTCTTGAGCCCAAAGAGTCAGAGTAGTTTAACCTCCCAAAGAGAAGAAAAAAAAACAGCCAAAGTGTGTGTGTGCTCGTGTGTGTAAACAACATTTATAAATAGCTCTGCACCAGCAAGAGCGTTCTCACCAGCAACAAGGATGACCATTGTCCCAGAGGAAACATCTGACGGGTAGTGCTGTGGTCAGCAAGGAATCCTGGGCTTCCCCAGTGGCTTAAACAGACGTGCTAACAGGAGTGGGTCAGATGGGTAATTACTTTCAGTTTGAAACAAATGAAAGATACAAATAGGCATAGAGCCCTTTCCATAAACTAGTGAGACTCTGGGTTTGAAAAGGATGACTCCAAAGTCCCCAACAGATGGGGCCAGAACAAAAAAACCTTTTCCATTCATAAAAAAGACAACCTATTCACGTTGAACAGGAAAGTGGAAAAAGCCAATGACTGCTTCACACTCAGATACTGAGCATGTTTTGTTTTGTTTGTAAGATCTGTGTTCTGCAGTCCTTGAACTAGGGCTCTTGTTTTGAAGCCTTTGCACTGCATATGTAATTAATAACAGCTTGAGAGCATTCTCATACCACCATCTGAGAAGAACTGTTAAATATGCATGGCCTTGGAGTCTGTCGAACAACCAAACACCCCCCAAACCGCACATGACTAGATCTGGATAAACAGCAATTTCTCAGGCTCATAAATTAGAGTGTAAATGTCTATGCACACTGCCTTAAGATGCATTCTCTTCCTATCTGTCCCGAAATAAAGCGACATCATCAGGTAGGAAACGGGGAGGAAGGGCATTCATAGTCCTGGCGAGTTACAATGCCTCCTCTTCTGGCCTTTCACAACCTCCCCGATCAATTCACAAAGCAGGTTTTGTTCAGAGAATGAATGCAGACGGTTTTCTTCTGTGCGTTTTATTAAAACTTGAAAGCGATGGCTCACTGCCATCCAGGATACTCACTGGGTTCCAATAACCCAACGTCCAACCTGGGCTCAGGCCCAGTCCACCCAGCTCAGCCTCGGTCATCTTGACATTGCGGTGAGTTTCAAGTCTCTAAAACACTAGACTTCCTACCGTTTAAGGGTAAAAAGAGCCTTGGGAACACAAGAGAACTTTCTCCACACGGAAAGAACTGATAAATAGTTCACCGAGTGAACCAAGGACTTTATTTGTTAAAAGCAGAAAACAAACAGAAACCCCAAAAGTACTGTGTGGGTATCCATAGTCATTGGGGCGGGGGGGGGAATGACATACATCTGCAAAATACTAAGTGAATAAACTGAGTGTATGGCTAAGGTGCTACTACTCTCAGCCAACACACAGATTTCATTCAAGGGCTGGGTTTGATTTCTAGGTAATATTATTCATACTAATTTCTTGTGATGATTTGACTATCAAAAGGGGGGGAGAACTGCAGGACACTAAGCCAGCACTGTCTTGATTTCAGAAATGACCTGGCTTGCTGCTGCTCGAGTCCTGGGAATCTCCTCTTCAGATGTGAGAGACCAAACTACATTTCTGTGCTGTCAGACTCCTTTGAGAGAGGTCGCCAAGCCATTCTGCTCCGTAGGGCCCAGACATAGCTCAACTGGTGCCGCCCCCGTCTTCCCAAACACCACCTGGAACCACGAAGGGGCCCCACGTGGTGAGTTCATCAGAGAGCTTTTTAAGAACCACATAAACCCAATTAAAGGCAGTGGATGAAATGACTCATTTCCTCTGTCTTGTTCCAAAAAAAGAAATAAAACAAGGGAGAGTGGATTGGCAAATGTAAAAATGATACCAGCCCCACGGTTAAGGCAAAGAGTTTTCTATAAATCCTTCCTTTCAAAATCCTCTTCAGAGGTGTTTAAGACCGAAAGGAGGCTGTAAAACTCTTAAGACAAACAGGCGGTGAGGCGGGGAGTAGGGGAGCCCTTTGTGGAAAGGGGCTAAAGACTGGGCAGAGGGAGCCAAGGACCGACAGCCGATGACAAGATCCAGCCTGCTTTACAATCAGGCCTTCGTGACCTTGTGGCTCTGTGTCTGCTGGGTGTTAATAATCGCCCCACCCCTCCCCATACTTAAAAAAGACAAAATTAAAGTGAATTGGTGTGCTAATGAAAAGCCGGCAATGAACTTGATCAGAGGCAGACCCTTGAAGTTCGTAAGGCAAGATTTGTGTCCCCAGGGGGTGGGATGGCATAGCTAAGACGGCAGGCACCCCAGGCTGGCTGGTTCCAGCCCCGTGGGGCCAGAAGAGTCTCAAAAGATAAGGCAACTGTGGCTTCTCGGCTTGAGGCCACTGCCAGAGGGGGCCACTGAGGCAGGGCAAGGGGGCGCCCCTGCAGATCACCAGAGGATATTCCGTGAACGGGATGGATGAGCTAGGGTCCCGGTGGCCGGGTCCTGAACCCCACACGCGCAGAGAATGTCTTTGCCTGTCCGGTTCACCCCTCCAAGCAGCAATGTCTTGGGTTGGTGGTGTGTAACTTTTGACAACAGACCCCTGATGAGATAAGACACCCCCCACCCCTCCATGGCAGGACCTCCACCAGGGTGGGGCTGGGCGAGAGGCGAAGAAAAGGACTTCCTGCATTGCCTGCTGCCCGCTCGTCCGGCTGAGGCCTACAAGCGCTTGTAGGTGCCCAGCAGTGCTTTGCAGTTCGGGCAGTAGTGGTCCACGTCCTGCAAGGCGTCCACGCAGAAGGGGATGAAGCAGCAGCCTGCCACGCACCTGGGGGGACACAACAGTCACATTACCAACTGCAGAGGGGGGGAAAGCGGAGGCCCTACCCCCTAGAACCCGGGAGAGTAACCGTATTTGGATCGATCTAGGATATTTGCAGAGATCATTACGTTCAAGATTTTATGATGAAGTTATATTGGAGGAAGAGCTGCTCTGGTGGCATAGCGTACTGGGCTGCTAACCACAAAGTCGGTGGTTCAAATCCATCAATGACAGTCTCTTTCCCATTAAGATTTACAGCCTCAAAAACCTGATGGAAGGTCATTATGAATTGGAACAGACTTGATGGCACTGGGCCTTTTGGTTCTAGGTCCAAAAGCTAAAACTCAAAACCAGATTTGTTACCATCTGGTCAACTCCAATTTACAATGATCCCATGTGTTACAGGACCACAGGGCTTTTCTGGCTATTATTGATATAAAAAAGAAAAAAAGAGACTGCCAGGCCATTCTTCTGAAGCACCTATGGTGGGTTTGAACCTCCAACCTTGTGTTTAGTAGTCAAGGGCAAAACACTTATGCTACCTAGGGCTCTTTTTAAATCCACTGACAAGTGTCCTTATGAGAGAATGGGGGGAGAAATTGGAGATACACAGGACAAGAGGAAAGAGGAGAGAGTGTGTTGATGGTGGCAGAGCCTCGAATTAAGCAGCCACAAGCTAGCGAAGCCTGGGGGGCCACCAGCAGCTGGAGAAGGCCAAGGAAGATTCTCCCCAGAGCCTTTGGAGGGAGCAGGGCTCTACAGAAACCTTGAGTCTGAACCCTGGCCTCCAGAACTGTGAGAGAACACATCTCTGCTGTCTTAGACTACTAAGTTTGTAATAATTTGTTACAGCAGCAGTAGGAGACTAATACTTGGAGCAATGCCAGCAGTCCCAGAGAGAGGGCTGGTTGGAAGCTAATTTCTAAACGTGGCTCCTATGGATATCTTCCAAGGTCTTAGGTCAGGAGTTGGCAAGCTTTTTTTGTAAAGGATTATGCAATCTCTGGTGCAACTCCCCAACTTTGTCCCTTCGAGCCTGAATGCTTGCCAGAGACAACACAGAAACACAAAGGTGTGGTTACACTGGCTGAAACTCAAAACAGCAGAGGCCGTGTATGGCCCCAATGCCATAATTTGCTAACTCCTCTCTTAGACTATGGCTGTTTTAAGATTATCTATATAGAGAGGGTCCCTCTTACAGAAGCAGCCAAATAAGGCTTCCCAAACAGCACCTCCCTTAACCTACACTGTCAGTCACCAGAGACAGGAATGATCTTCAATCAGCCTTAACAATCGATGTTTACCAAAGGTGCAGTTCAACGAACACAGAGAAGAAACATAATGTTTCATTGGAAGATCCTGACTCACTCACAAAGCCTGAATCAGGAACTATTCAGATGAAAACAAGTTGCTTGTAAAAGAAACTTCCTCCATTTGTCTAAGTTTACCAGAAGCTCAAAAACACTCACTTCTGCTAAGTCATCCCTTATTCACAGTGACCCTCCACTGGATTTCTGAGGCTGTAAATCTTTATGGGAAGAGGTCACCCGTATTTCTCTGACAGAGCAGCTGGTGGACCTTTTGGTTAGTAGCCAGACAAGTTAGTCTAACCACCAAAGTTATTGACATGAAGAGAATTCTGACCCACAGTGATCCCTTTTTGGGTTTCTGAGGCTGTCAATCCTAATGGGAGGAGATTGCCCATCTTTGCCCAGAGTAGATTCAAAACATGGGAGAACAGCAGCCTATTGGTTGGCCACACAACATGTTATGGACTACAGCACCAGAGTTCCTTAAATAAAAGGTTGTTGTTGTTGTTGTTGTTGTGTGCCAATGACTTGGAACAGACTCATAGCTGACCCTCAGCAAGTTTTGAGAGGCTGTTTATAGCATGCGAGGAGATCGCCCATCTTTCTCCCTTGGAGCAGATGGTGGATTTAAACTGCCTGCCTTTGGACTGGTGGGGCAACTCCTTACCACTAGGCCACCAGAGCTCCCTAACTAAGGAGTAGTGAGTCCATTTAGAGACCACTCTCCACTCTTACCTACAGTTTGCCTCTATGGTTTACCTGTACAGGTAAGCAGTACCACATACACACACATAGTACCACGTGTACACACATTCCCTTATTTTATCTTCAAATATATATATATATATATATATATATATATATATATATATATAGTCCTCAATTTACAGATGATTTTAGATAGATAGATAGATAGATAAATGATCCTCAATTAGTATGTGAGAAAGCTCAGAGACATGAAGTCACTTGTCCAGGGTCACACAGAAAGCATGTGGTAGGATTTGAATCGACACTACTACATTTAAGGGGGAAAAGAAAAGAGAATTTAAAAAGTCAAATCATCTGAAGCTAACTTACTCCCTTTCCTTAATTTTCTTTTCCACGGAGGTTTTTTTTTGTTGCTGTTGTTCACAGAATCTTTAAATAGCCATTAAAGATATTATAATTATACAATTTCCTTCTACATTCTTAATTGAGAGAATATGAACGTGAAATAGGTAATAATTTTTTAAAAGACTGTAATATTAAATCCCCATTTCTTTGTAGCTGTGTCAGAACGGACTCCAAGTTCCAAGGCTGTGAATTCCAGGGAGGAGACCACCCGTGTTTCTCCTGAGGAGCTGTGGGGGGATTCAAACTACCGGAGACCTTCTGGTTAGCAGTTCGAGGCCACGCCAGCCTGTTCTCCTTTATACTGCCTAGGTCATAGGCATGTTTTCACGGAAGCTGCAGAATCTCTGAGAGAAAAATTTCCTTGAATACCAGCTTCCTTGACCTTTCATGTAGCCTTTTCTGCCCCAGGGAAGAAGTCATGAGCCGGAACTGTATGTGGGTGGGGAGAAACCTATCAACTTTATTCTCTGTCCTTCCCTAGTTACTGTGTGAGCTGAGGTTATTGCCCTTACTCACGTACCATCGAGTGGGAACTGGCTCATAGATGATCCTCCTCCGGGGTTTTGGAGGCTGTAAATGGCACGGGAGGAGATGAACCATCATTCTCCCTCGGAACAGCTGGTAGATAGAAACTACCTGCCTTTGGGTTGGCAATGCAACTCCTTACCATTAAGCCACCAGAACTTCCTACTTAATCTATGACCTGAAAGATGAGAATGAATCTCTCTGGGATTAATAAATCGAATTAATAAATTGCTGTTGTTGTTACATGCCATCAAGTCGCTTGCAACTCATAGTGACCCCATGTACAACGGCCCTAAACTCTGCTCTGTCCTGTGCCAATCGCACTGTCTCTGACACACCCATCCTGATTACCCCAGTCACTGAATCAATCCACTTCATAGAGGGCCTTCCCCTCCTGTGCTGTCCCTGCACCCTCCCAAGTATGATGTCCCTCTCCAAGGTCCAGTTCTTCCTTATAACATGTCCAAGTATGTCAGATGAAGCCTCAGAGTCCTTGCCTTCAAGGAGCAGTCCGGTTTAACCCTTTCCAGGATGAATCTGTTTGTTTTCCTAGCAGTCCATGGTACATTCAATACTCTTCTCCAGCACCACAGCTCAAAGGCATCAATTCTCCTTCTGTCCTCCCTAGTCATTGTGCAACGCTCTGATACATAACAAGTGATTACAAAGACCATGGCCTGCATCAGATGCACCTTAGTCTTCAGAGAGACACCATTGCTCTTCAGTACTTTGGAGAGGTCCCTAACAGCAGGCTCTCCCATCGTAACACGTCTTTTAATTTCCTGGCTACTTGTGCCAAGAGTGTTGACTGTGGAGCCAAGCAAACTAAAGCTGTGAACAATCTCAATTTCTTCACCATTCATCCTGATGCTGCCAATTTGCCCAGTGGTGAAAATTTCTGTCTTCTTGATATTGAGCCTCAATCCATACTGAAGGCTGCAGTCCTTGACCCTCTGCAACAAGTACTAATTAATAAATTGTTGTTGTTGTTGTTATGTGCCACCGAGTAGCTTGCGACTCATAGTGACCCTATGTACAAGAGCTCTAAATGCCGTTCAACCCTGTGCCAACTTAGCCATCCCAAACGCACTTTTTCCCACCACTCCAGACACAGAATCGACCCATCTCATTGAAGGTCTTCCTCTCCTTCGCCGCCCTTCCACTCTGCCAAACATGATGTCCCTCTCCAAGGTCCAATCCCTCCTTGCAACATGCCCAAAATATGTCAGACGAAGCTTCAGAATCTTTGACTCCAAGGAGCATTCCGGCTTCACCTTCTCCAAGACAAACCTGTTTGTTCTCCTAGCAGTCCATGGTATATTCAATACTTTTCTCCAGCACCACAGCTCAAAGGCATCAATTCTCTTTCTATCAACCCTATTCACTGTCCAACTCTCTGATGCATAGCATGTAATTGTGAAGACTCTAGCCTGGAACCTTAGTCTCCAGCCTGACGTCATTGCTCTTCAGTACTCTTGAGAGGTCCCTCACAGCCGACTTTCCCAACGCAATTCATCTCTTGATTTCCTGGCTGCTGTTATCTAGAGTGTTGATTGTGGAATCAAGTAAACCAAAACTGTTAACTATCTCAATCTCTTCACCATCCATCTTGATAATGCCAATTAGCCCAGTGGTAAGAATCTTTGTTTTCTTGACATTGAGCTTCAATCCATATAGAAGGCTGCAGTCCCTGACCTTCTGCAGCAAGCGCTTCAGGTCCTCCTCAGTTTCAGCAAGCAGGGTTGTGCCATCTGCATAAAGCAGGTTGTTGATGACTCTTCCACCAATCCTGATGCCACATTCCTCCTCATACAGCCCAGCATCTCGGATGATCTGTTCTATGGAGACAGAACACATCCCTGACGTGACGAACCCCCTTCTTGATTTTGAACCATGTAGTGTCTCCTTTTTTTTTAGGAAGGGAAAACATTCTTCCTTCTTGACCTAAGTCACAAGCAGATGATGGGGAGGAATCAGCCGGCTGCACAAGCACTTTGGGGAAGAAATGTACCAACAGCACATCTGCCAAAGAAGTAAAGGCAGCCCCCGCCCTGCTACAAGGAGCCCTGGTGCACAGAGGTTAAGTGCTTGGCTGCTACCTGAGAGGTGGGCAATTCACACCCACCAGCAGCATTTCAGGAGAAAGACTACAGCTGTGGAGACCCCTCAAGGCAGCTCTACTCTGGCCCACAGGGTCACCATGAGCTGGAATCAACAGCTTTGAAGAGCTGGTCCCCATTAACACACACCAGTGGTTCCCAGAGAAGTTCACGTGGCCAGGAAAAGATGAGGGCACTGTGGTGGTCTCATAGGGAGCTGTGCTGTGGACCACAGAGCTGCACCTCTCTGCAGATTCAAGTCCACCAGAGGCTGCAAGGAAGCCAGATGGGATCCTCCCTTGCCATTTACAACCTCAGAAACCCAACAGAGGGTCAACCATGAGGTGGCTTTGGCAGTGAGTTTATGAGACTTTTACCTGCTCAGGGAGGGGGGAAAACTCAATAATTATCTTTCTTCAAGTTTCTGTCCCAGAACAGAACTATAATCTCTCTAAACATAATACTCTGGGTGTAGACATAAATATTTACACAGGCCTCCAGCGAAGGCAACGGGAAACATACTCGAAGTCACAAAAGGATAAGAGGTTTGTGAGAGATTATGTAAAGCATTTTAACGTACAGATTGTTTAAAGCTTTGCTTGGAGTCAAGCAAACAGCAGTACCGAGGGCATGAAAAGCTAGAAGGAAAGCAATCTCTATGTGAATCGCCCCACATGGAGGTGGGTGACTCTGATGCTTGTCCCTACATGCACGAGGGAAGGGCCACAGAAACGCTGCAATAGTAACTTGCAGAGCAGATGTGCTCAAGAGCAGTGATTCTCAACTAGGGACAAGTGTGCCCTGGTGGCACAGTGCATAAGGCCCTGGGCTGCTTAGCAAAACATCAGTGGTTTGAATCTACCAGTTGCTCTGATTAAAAAAGACAGGCAGCTTCTTCAAATGCCAAACCACCGTCGAATAGATTGAGAAATTATGGTACATTCCCACGATGGGATGCTACGCAGCACACAGGAGCAATGATTTTGTATATTACGACCTAACTTGGGAGGGTCTGGAGGGCATTATGCTAAGTGAACTAATTCAGTCCCATAAGGACAAGTACTGTATAAGACCATTATTATAGAAATAGAAAGAAAACGAGTAAAATGGGTATGAAGATCCAAGGAGGGGAGGGGAAGAGCAGAGAGGTGAGGATAGGCAGGATCTCACAATTTGATGGGGAGGGTGAGGGGTCGGAAAGGAAATGGGAAAGATGTGGTGTGAAAATCAATGTATACGAACTTTTCAAGTAAACCAGTATAAAATAAAAATAATACTTTTTTTAAAAGATGGGCCGCTTCTTGTAAAGATTTAGTTTCAGAAACCCAATAGACAGTTGCTATGAATGAAAACTAACTGGATAGCTAGGGTTTTGGGGTTTTCCCGCAAGAAAAGCACCCCGGTGACACAATGGATAGAGTACTCGCTGCTAACAGAAAGATCAGTAGTTCGAACTGAAAACCACTCCCCAGAAGGCAGATGTAAGATAACACCCTCCCAAGTCCTACAGGGAAGTGAAGTAGCCTCGCAGGTCCTATAAGGGAGTTTGACTCTACCCATGCGGCTGGGAGTCAGAAACGGCTCAGTGGCAAGAGCGGATTCTGTTGCTGTTGTTGGGAGCAGCATTGTTTGTTTCCTGCAAAGGGAGAGGAAGAGGGCGCCCAGGGAGTGGGCGTGGGCTGCAGACTCACCCCAGCAGGCAGAGGCTCCCGCAGGAGAGCCAGGTGAGCGCCCCGGCGTTGTAGGACAGCCGCGTCACGATCATCTTGTTGCAGGAAGGACAGCACATCTGGACCGGGCGGTCGAAAAACGAGATGGGCTGCTGCACGTACACAGTCTGCACAGCTACTGAGGGCGGGAGCAGGAGACAGAGAAGCTCAGCAAACAAAAATGACACCAGCAAACAGCACAGGGGTGGAACACACAAGGACGCAGGGGCCAGACCTCCACGGCCTTGCACCAAGGGACAAACGAACCTCACTGCCCATGGAGACAGATTAAGTGGGTCTGGAGTTGATCCCCAAACTGTCTCCCATTCCTCCCAAATCACTCCCTTAAGGTGGTCTGAAGACAGTAATCACGAAAACAGTGATGGTGTGGGCTTGGGCCTCAGTTTTCTTACTTGGGGGATGACTGGATACCAGGTATATGGGAAGAGATGGCTAATAGGTTTAAGGGTGTGTTTTTTTGGGGGTGAGGGAGAGCTATGGAATATTCCAGAATTTGGCCAGTGCTGATGGTTGCACATTGTGACTCTACCAAAAAAGCCCTCCAAATTGTATACGTCCAATGGGTAAACTTGATAGTTGTTCTTTAGTAACTGTTGAGAGAACTCTACTGGGTCGACTATTAGAGAGCATGTCTGTGGCTGGTGCGGGGTTCATCCTCTGAATGGCCTGGTCACTCTACATGTTTCTTGATGAACTTCTATACCCAGTGCTAAAGGCAGTGCTAAGAGAGTTAAGAAGGTCAGGCCAGGCGAGCTCTGGTGGCCTAGTGGCAAGAAGCTGCACTGCAATCTCAGAGGTACACGGTTCGAATCCACCAGATGCTCTGCTGGAGAAGGAGGAACAATCTCCTCCTGTACCAGTCAGATCTGATTTGACGGTACACACACAAAAATAAAAAATAAAATTTAAAAAAAAAAAAAAGAAGGTCAGGCCAGATGATCCAGATGCCAAGTGCCCAAACTATGTGGATGCAAAAAAATAAGGAACCCTCAGAGAGGGTCTCTTTTTTTCCTCCCCCTCAAAACTGTTGAATTTCGTATTTCTGTCAGACTGACTTCCTTCTGGTTCTTTTGACACAGCGAAGAGGAAAGTGGTTGCCAATATCATTCCTGTCATCTTTAGGTGACTCAATCAGTCCTGTGGAAACTGACGCATGGCTGACCCCCCACCAAGTTTACTGTAAGTCACATGGGAGGAGATTGCCCAACTTTATACTATGGAGTCACTGGTGGATTTGAACCACCAGAAAAAGTTAGGCCTCTGCGTTAGCACAGCAAGTCCCTACGGGCTGCATCACCCAAGCACCTTTGTCTTCACCGTGTGAAGGGAGGATGAACTAACACCCAGAATCGATGCAACTTAACAGTCAGAGAAAGAACCTCCTTCTGGGAAGGCGGTGGGAGTGACAGCTACTTTCACAGGCGCCAGAGAGCTCTGGTGGCCTAGTCCTGGTGGTTGCACTGCTAACCCAAAGCCCACCCTCTCCGGTGGTTCAAATCCACCAACAGCTTGTCGGGAGAAAGATGAGCAATCTCCTCTCATGCTACTTACAGCTTGGAAAGTCCACCGGAGAATCAGCTATGAGTCGCGTATGACTCAACGGCAGTGAGTTTTCCCAGGAACGTGTACATGACATTAAGTCTAAGTTATTAACTGACCACGAATGTGATCGACTTCTTGAAAGTCATCATCTCACCATCCCAATAACTTCACCGAGATGTCGAAATAGTCAAGACAACAAGAACAATAATACCAGTACCACCAGAAGACTTCAATTTGACTCCAATTCAGTAACCCATGTGTGTCAGAGTAGAACGGTATGACACAAGGGTTTTTAATGGCTGGCTGGCTTTTGCAGAATGAGATTGCCAGGCCATTCTTCTGAGGTACCTTCTGGGTGAATGAGAATGCCCAACCTTTTAGAGAGTAGCTGAATACATTAATGAGGCACCCTAATAATAGTAACAATAGCAGCAGTGCACTGTTTTATTCAATCTCAACATACTGATGCAGATATTTGAAAGCCCACTCTACACGGGGTGATGTATTGGCTAAAACGTGCAGGTGCTAACTCAAACGTTGGCAGTTCAAACCCACTCACTAGTTCCATGGGAGAAAGATTTGGCTATTTGACCCCTTAAAGACTAAAGCGTGGGAGACCCTAGGGGACACTGACTCTGACACATGAGATCACTATGAGTCAGAAACAACTCAAAGTTACAGATGAGGAATACAAGGCACAGGGAGGTTAAGTGTGCTGGGGCATAGTTCAGCCCCTTGGCCCCTTCCTTCTCTGAGCTATAACTTCCTGAACTGCTGTGACAATGAATCAATCAGCCATATACCTGGCCACACTCGGGCAGCAGGAAGTACCCAAAAGCAGGGACCATAAAGATGTTTCAACATGGGAGGGACTGGAGAGGATTATGCTAAGTGAATTAACTCAGTCCCATAAGGACAAATACTTTATAAGACCATTAATGTAAAACCAGATAACTAGTAAAACATATATGAGGCCCCAAGGGGGGAAAGGTAGGAGCACAGGGGTGAGGAGGGATGTTGTTGTTGTTGTTTGGTGCTGTCGAGTCGTAGACGACTCATAGCGACCCTATGAATGAATGGCCTGAGCACTGTTCATACATAGAGTTTCCGGAGGCATGCCATTTCGGAAGTGGATAGCGCTCCTGCTTCCAGGCTTAGGGGGACATAATCATGGGATTGCACAATTTGGGGGTGGAGGAAGGGGTGGGTTAAGGAAATGTGAAATATCCGGTGTGAAAAACAGTGTGTATGAATTTTGTAAGTAAAGCAGTATAAAAAAAGAAATAACAGAGGGGAAAAAAGATGTTATTTTAGTATTCACAGCTCTACTCTCCCGCCTTCTATTGCCCCTTGTCCAGGGGGCAAGGGCTCCACCTCACCTGGAAGGATGGGCCCTTCAGGCACCCCAAAACTTCGCTGAGATAAGTAATAGCTGTGTCTTTGGGATACGCTGGTATCTGACTGATTTTTGGCAGGCACAGTGCTTTACAATGAGCCACATGGGCCTCTCCCCAAGGTGCAACCCAAGAGACTGAACTTCAAGACAAGGGGTGTGGCTGAACTGGCTGCCACCGGCTAGGACTCTTCAGGCAGCCACTTTGTTCAGTCATTTGAGGGCCGAGGACTAAGAGGGTAGGGGGGGCTGGAAGCAGATGGTACACATACTGGCATTGGCGTTGGGGACCGGCACTGGCTGGGTGTAGTAACCAGGAGGGTTCATGCCCTTCCCATCGGAGCCTGACACCAGCCCTGTGGTGGGTCCAGGAGTGGGCGCTTGGGGTGTCGGGTAGTGGCCACCAACGGTCTCTTCATAGGATGGGGGTGCAGTGGGCACAGAAGGCCCAGCAGCTGCCTGGTAAGGTCCTGGAGCCGACATTTCCACCTACGGAGAATCAGAAGAAAGCAGGTTCAGAAATTCAACTAGAATCTCTATCTTTCCCTGATCTTTCATTTTTTTCCCCTATTAAATAGAGTATCTGAACAAATTACCTGTGCCAAGCTTTGCCCCAGTCAGAGAGTCTTTCAATACCACTTTAAGACTTTCAAGTTATTGCTTTAAAAATAAAAAAAATAAAAAAATGCCAGCAACATAAAAGCTATGGCTACTGAGTCAGTTTAGCCTCAGACTCACCCTCCATTGGGTTCCTAAGTCTGTAAGTATTTACAAGAGGAGACTCTCCACCTTTCTCTCACAGAGCAAGCAGATGGTGGATTCGAACTGTAGACCTTTCGGTTAGTGCAACATGTAATAAATATTTCACCAGGGCTCCTTATTACCTTACCTTAACAAGGGTACCCCTAAATCAACGGAATAGGTTAATAACAACTGAAAACCAGCCAGACCTACTAAATCCCACAGCAATACATCAAGACAATCGGAGGAAAGATTTCTTTACCCTACAGGGACTTGTCTTAAAAATCTAGAGGTCTATCAAAACAACTTTGAGATACCATCTCACCCCAGTAAGAATAGCAAAATTTAACAGAACAGCAAACAACAAATGCTGCTGAGGTTGTGGAGAAACTGGAACCCTTATTCACTGTTGGTGGAAGTGTAAAATGGTGCAACCACTGTGGAAGGTGGTGTGGCGCTTTCTCAAAAAGTTGCAAATAGAAATACCATTTGACCCAGCAATTCCACTACTGGGAATATACCCCAAAGAGACCATAACTGCCACCCAAGCAGATATATGCACACCCATGTGTATCGCGGTTTTGTTCATGATAGCAAGGAGTTGGAAACAACCTAAGTGCCCATCAACAAATGAATGGCTAGAGAAGCTGTGGTAGGTATATTCATGCAATGGAATACCAGGCTGCACTGAAAAACAAGGAACTCATGAAATATTATTCAAAATAGGTGGCCGTGGAGGGCATTATGCTGAGTGAAATATCTCAGTCACAAAGGGACAAATACTGCATAGTGCCACTGTTGTAAAACAGGACTGACATCAGGACTGCGGGGAGACTGAGAAAGATGAGTTAAATAATGTATACTGCATTGAAACAGATGAGGGAGAAAACTGTTTAATAGGGTATGTGATTAGGTATTTTTGTCCTGACAGGAGTCCAGAGTGAAGGCTGCATAGTGGAGTGGATGTGCGAGGAGGGATTGTAAAACAATGAAAGAATTTTTCTTTTACTTTTCAAAGAGAAGAGTGCACTGGGGGGGGGGGGAGAAAGTGCAACAATGAATGAATAGAAATCCAAAGTAAATTTTCATTAAAATTAATTAAAAAATTAAATAAAAAATAATTTAAAAAACAAGGAAAACAACCCACACTTTTATACAAGCATATTCATACTGGTATATAAATGTGTGCAGATAAAAATGTTTCTATTTATATGAATGCATATAGATGTTTATTAGCCCAACAGCTTTGCAAACATACATGCATACATCAGAGATATTTAAGTTTGGTTCCCAACCACTGCAATGAAACAACCTACACTTTTATTGTTGTTCCCAGTGTCTATAAAAGTGCAAGCTGCACTAGAGGCATTGGCAAAATAGAAGGCTCCAGGAATTGATGCCATGCCAAATGAGGTGTTTCAACAAACAGATGCAACTCTGGACGTGCTCACTTGTCTATGCCAGGAAATTCAGAAGACAGCTACCAGGCCAACAAACTAGAAGAGATTCAGATTTATGCCCATTAAAAAAAAAGTCCAACAGAATGTGGTAATTGTTGAGTATCATTAGCATCATATGCAAGTTAAATTCAGCTGAAGATATTAAAAAATGGCTGGAGTAGTACCTCCATCATAATTGGCAAATATTCAAGGTGAATTCAGAAAAGGTTGTGGACTGGGAGTTTGGTGTTTGGTTGTTTTGGGGTGTTTTTTGTTGTTGTTGTTGTTGCTGGGTATGTTTTTTTTTTTAAATCTCAGTGGATATTGTCTGAAAATAGAGAATACCAGAAGAAAAAAAAATCCAGAGGTCTTTTTCCTCTTTTTTTAACTACTGTGTTTTTTTACCAAGTGTTTCAGGTACCATGGAAGAAAAATCAAAACTACTGCAATTATGAGATTGAGTAAGGGGGGAGGGGAAGCCAAAATTCATTGTTGTCAAGTTGATTCTAATTCAAAGTGACTCTCCACAAGGTGTCTGCGACTGTAAAGACTGTAAACCAAGACAGGAGAGGATGCCCTTCTCTCCCTCTCCCTCCCCCTTGGAGCCACTGTTGGATTCGAACCACTGGAGAGACAAGCAAGCTGTGGGTCAGGAACATAACTTGCTACGGACTGAGCAAAAACTACACATGGTGGAATGCACACCAGTGTCCACGGCAGCCTTGAGACGGAGCCAGAGGTGGAGAGAGTCTAGATAACCAGGCAGATGAATGGGCAGAGTGTGGATTTTGAGTGTGTGTGTGCGTGCACACACACACACACACACACACACACACACACACACACAGAAGGGAAAACAGAAAAGAGGCCTACTGCATGAGAAAACCCTGAAAACATCACGCACACTGAAACTGTAAAAGCTTGCAAACCATTCCCATAATGGAATACTATGCAGCATGAAAAAGCAACTTTGTAAAATATAACAAAGGAGAATCTAGAGAGCATTATGCTGAGTGAACTGGCTCAGTTCCCTAAGGACAAATTCTGCATAAGATCATTATTCTGAAAATAGAAGGATAACTAAGAAGATGTGGACAAAAGCTCAAGAGGGGAGGGGAGGAAATCGCTAGGTTAACAGAGTTTGGTGGGCGGAGGGGTGTGTACGAAGGTGTTAGGAAAGACCCAATGTGAATTTGAAAAGACCAGGCATAGATCAGTGGATGCATATGAGTGATTGAAACACAATGTGAATGTAGGAATGTGAGAAACCCAATGTACATGGGTGATACATAATATATGCGAATTTTCTATGCAAACCAATAGATAAGAAAAATAAGGTGTTGAGGGTGAGCCCAAATGCCATAAGGTCCATTCTGACTCACAGTGACCCTCTGCCGGGTTCTCGGGCTGTCGACTCTTTACAGGAGGAGACTGCTCCTCTTTCTCCCATGGGGCAACTGGTGGATTTAACACATGACACGCTTGGTGACCAAGACTGGACTGAGGCAAACCAGCTGAAAAAGAACAAATACTGTAGGAACTCATTTACATAAAATAATCCAACAAACAGAAACCAAAGATTATCAGTAGTTACCAAGGGACGGGAGGAGGGAGAGGGAGAGGAGAATTTTGCTTCAGGGGCACCAAGCTCCTGTTAAGGGTAATGGAAAAATCTGGAATTTGCACTTTTTCATATATACATTATAGCTTTTAAAAAGTAAACACACACACACAGCAGTGCCCCTTTGGAAAGTATGAGAATGGCACATATTTCCTTTGTGAGGACAGAGAAAGGATTCCCCCCTCCCTGTAAAGCTTCAGATTACAGCACCTGCACCAGTGCCCGTTCCTGTCCACAGCCCTGGTCACCCCCACCGCAGCTCCAGGACACACAGAGTGTCCTTTGTATGGGCTTCTTTTCTCAAGTGGACAGGGCAAGGCTCCATTCAAACTCGGCTGGGGGCTCAGAGAAATGAGAGCCAGGCCTTCCTTGGGCCAGGGCTGGGGCACCGACAGCCAGTACCCCAGCCCAGCTCCCAGCCCCGTCTCATTTTTCCTGAACCCATGGGAAGCAGAAGCAGCGATGGATTCTGCTGGTTTGCAAAGCAGTGACTCTGAGACGGCCCTGATTGTAAATACACCCAGAAAGGAGAGCTCACTAGTGCAGAAGGGGCCTTTCAAAGGGGAAACAGAGGTACAAGGAAACAAACTTCAACAGCAAAGTCAAGAAATACAGCAAGCGAGGTGACAGGGTTCTAGAACTTCTCAAAATCCTTTTTGAGTTGTTTGGCCTTCATTCTAGAAGCCTGGGTGTCAGTGAACCTGTACCCATTCCCATCATTCCCTGACGACGAAATGGTCTATAGCTGCAGTATCCAATATGGCAGCCACCCAGGCACATGTGGCCACTGTAAATAAGGAACAGAACTTCTCATTTTATATCATTTTAAGCAATAACTGAAAAGTGGAAACCCCCTAAATGCCCATCCATACTGGGAATACTCAAAATCTCAAACTCGCAGCATCCTCCATCAGGTTTCTGAAGCTATAGGTCTAAATGCAAGGAGCTCCTTCAGAGCTAAGGGTGGATATGAACCTCTGACCTTTCAGCTAGCAGTGCAACGTGCTATAAACTGCATCGTCAGAGCTCCTTAATTGAATACTTCCTGCTGCTGTTCTGTCCCATCGAGTCAGAAATGGCTCAGGTACACACCATGACAAAAACACACCTTGAAAATGTCATGGTAAGTGGAATCTGCTAGTCATAAAAAGGCACAAACTTTCTGACCCCATTCAAATGAAAGGTCTAGAGAAAGCAAGCATAGTGAGATTCAAGTTTATTACTGGTTACTTAGACCAGACAGGAGGGAAGGGACACTGCTTAGGAGACACTGAACTGTGACGGGTGATGGAAAATTCCAGAATAGGAAAGGTTTCTGGTTGAGCAACACGACAAACATAAGCAATGACAGGCACTGCAGTAAACCTGGGAGGACTGTTGAAATGGCAACTGTTTTTTGCTACTTAGATATTTACCACAATTAAAAAGAAATAAAAAAATAAAAGAGTTTAAAACCTGATACTTGCTTCAGTTTGGAGGAAACTTAGTTACTAAGTCTGGGGCAACCTGGGTTATGTGGACCTACTTCTACAACAGCAAACTGAATGCAATGTCAATACAGGTAAAATATTTCTGATAAAAATTCTGCATCCAGCTTGAGGTGTGAGATCATACACCGGATATCAAAGACTACATATTTGAAAAGAAACCCACCACCAACTTACAGTCTCCTGATAGTTTTT